CAATCATTTCAGTTAGTTGTTATAATTCTAATACATTTAATAAACTGTCGAACCTTAATTAATTAAATATTAATTGCGGAAACAGTACAAAGACACCACAAAAAACACATGCACATTTATTAGCAAATAACTCAAACTTGCATAGATTAATACGCCTAAATAAATAGACGGATCCAGCAGAATTGGTGTCATAGTTTGCAATGTAATTCTGTCTATGCATGGGTAGGGAGATTGTATCCTGCAAAAATCTTCCGACTCATCCAACCCCGTAATCATTCTCTCTCTCTCTCTCTCTCTCTCATTTCTACCCAATGCCCAATGTATATGCTTTCATCTTCAAAACCTGCAGCAGATTTCACATACATATTATTACATATTATTACATATTGGTATTCCCTAGGTAAACTTCCCATTAAGAATATGGCAATAATATGTAGACAAAGTTTATACGAAAAATGCACAAGAATAGTTGTCGTAAACTTATTCAGATTTATGTTCGTAAGGAAATTTATGAGTTTGTCAAACAACTAACAACAACATTATAACAACTTTGTGTATTCATCACCTGACTTTAACCAGTACTTCCCTGAAGATTTGTAATGCATGTGCATACATACGTATATGTATGCACATGCACTGGAATTTATCGACGGTGTCATGGCTAAGAAGGTTTACCTGGATTTGTTGAAAAGAAATCTCCGCCAGTCCGCTACAAAAGTTGGATTTGGTCGCAGATTTATATTCCAACAAGACGGGATCCAAAACACAAAGCCAAAATCATCCCAAAATGGCTCAAGGAAACCAAGATAAAGACGTTAGATTGGATTGCCCAGTCTCCCGACCTCAACCCCATTGAAAATCTCTGGACAGCACTAAGGCGTCGGATCGCGGAGCGGAAACCCAATAGCCTTGCATCCTTAAAAGCTGTGATCACAGAAGAATGGGCAAACATTGATCAAAATGTTACCAAAGGGTTAGTGGAGTCCATGCCGAGGCGAATTCTAGCAGTTATTGCGGCTAAGGGTGGTCACACAAAATATTAAAGGGGAAGACGTCGCTGTATCAACACTTATGCACGATGCAATTTATATTTTTAGACATTCAAATATTCATAGAAACTCCACTTTTGATTCAATAAACTTAAAATTTTGCAAGTATGTACTCATAGCCACTGTGAATAAATGGTGCACAAATTAGATTAAAACATTAAGTTGTTCTGGAGAACCGACAAGATGTGCGCCGTATAAAAACTGTATATTCATATATGCATGATACTGTAAGTAAAATAAAATCAAGTCGCCTATCTTAACGATTTGCCTCCTGCTGCTTAACTGTTTACCTTAGTAAATTCAAGTTATTCATTTTTTTCAAATATTCGGTATAAAAGCATATTACGCGAGTTTCAGCAATCCAGTCTTACTTACAAATTGCATTCCTGTAGCTAAGTCTTTATAAAATGACACCCAGAAATTATCAACCTACCCGTTTAAATGGTTTCGTAAACTTTACATTTCCCAATGTTACCCATCCAATCTTCGGCACAGCGACCGTAACCGGACAATTTAAACGTATCAAACCCCACATCTTCCGACTTGAAGTTGAACCATGCGTAATTGAAGAATTGTCAAATAAATATTGCAAATTGGCAGATCAATTCGGGTTTCGAAACCACCAGTTTAAACGGTACTCGATTAAAACGATTATATTGACGTCGATACAAACATCCCTTTACTGGATGCCTGGCGTGGAGCCTACATCAAACGAGATGGATTTCATAATCCGGTTTTTTACCTGGCTCTGGTTTTTGGACGATGTCATGGAAGAAGATTGGGCAAGTCGAGAAGTAAATTTTGACAAGTATAAGAGTTCAGAACTTAAAGCTGTTCACAACGTTTACTTGAGCATTTTCCGCGGTAATAACGAAATCCATTATGACAAGATTATGTTCCCCAAGCAGCGGAACTTTTTACCGTTGTGCGCATTAGCCGAAGACATTGTAAAAATTGGAAAACACATCTTAGGCGAGTGCTATGACAACATAGTAGAAAAAAGCTTCATCATAAGTTTAAAAAACTACCTAGACAGCAATCAATGGTTTACTCTAAATCCGGTTGACGGAAGGTCTGTCAGTAATAGAATTTATTGAGAAGATTAATTTTTTTGTATTGAATAAATTAATTTGAATAGAATTATTTTATTAAATAGATACAATTTGGCAACGTTTCAATTCTGGAGGGTTTCCAACGCAGCGACCTCTGTGGCATTAGATGTCATCGCAATGATGCAAAATATTCGGATATCAACCGAGATGAGGAGTCATCCCGCCTTTGTAAGGATGATTAGCATTGCCGAGTCAAATGTTCAACTCGTTAATGACGTTCTCGGAGTGGCCACGGATTTCGGATATGGAGGAGCTGACGTTTACAGCGAGCTGGTTTTCCGTGTCCTTTGCAAGAACGAATCACTTCAAGGCGCTATTGATGCGATGTGTTGTAAGATTAATGAAGATCTTGAAGATCTAATTTTAATTAAGGAAACGCTAACAATGGTCTTCGGGGAGGATGAAAATCTCGAAAATCTCTTTGACGTAATTGATTCTTTCATCGACGGACAGCACTTGGTTTACGTGGAAAATATCCGCTACAAGTGTAAACGCGGGTTTGTCCGATTAACGAGGGATGAAGCTCAAGATGCGGATGCTGCGAGCAGAAGAGAAAACGTGGCTATTGATCAGAGAGAAATTAACCCTGAACATCCAACGTGTCTTTTGGCTCGAGTTAGATATGTATTTAAGGGGCAATGTGATTGATTGAGACACTCTGTGAAATTAAAAGAAAAATATGTGGGTTAATTTCAAGGGTCTAACGTAGACCATATCCGTTTCCTATTCTAATTATAACTATCCAACTTGGTTTATGAATGTGCTAAAATGTCTGTATGTACTTTATTGGGGGTCGGCATGAAAGAAGGAGAAATCGTTCTAGGTGATAGTAATTAATTATACGTATTTATATATTTCTAAATTTATAACAATGATTTTGTGAATGATTTTGATTGGGCTGCCGCTATGTCAATTATGGAATAAATTATTATTTACCAAGCCATGAATATGTTTTTTAAAATAAAGCCCAAAATCTTTGAATTTATTGACGGTAAACAACTTTTGGAGTGTTTTCATCATGCACAAAAAAAATGTTTTTGTCGATTTAGTACTTTGAAGTTTTTTTTACATTGCAAATTGGAGCAAGGTAGGGCCCAGAAATTGTGTACTTTTAATTTTGTATGACCTTACATGATGCAGACCACATTTTTCCCACATAATTGTGTGTGAAATCCACAATCATAAACGTCTCCAAATTTCATATATTCTTTGGAAGTATGAAGACCCCAAGACATTATTTAAAAAATTGGGTATTTGTGTTCCACGAATTCGTATATTAATTCCTCTTACATATTCGCATTTATATATCTGTAGTATTATACTACTAGTATATATCATTCCGATAAGTTTGGTGAATTCAACTGACCTTACACGAGTACAGAATGTATATACTCAATTATAATGTAAGACTTTTATTTCGGCCTTGGATATAGTTTGGAAATTTACACAATTATAACCACTTTTTTTGTTTATATTCTCCAAGCACGTGAGACAAAAACCTGTAAATCTGTTAATAATTTCGGCATGAATTTCAGAATATTCGATAAGCAGTCATCTCCATTTTCACAACGAAGTAATATTTACATTCTGTGCATCGTTCCTACATCCATTTGGCAATTATCGCAAGAATTAACCGTATCCCCACACTCATTTTCGCAACAGTACGGAATCAACTCATAATGGACAACCTCTATAATTTTGAAGGCAGAAAATCAGAAGATATGTGAGACATACCAATTTCACCGAGACATGGTATACTAATTATGTTAGTTTATGTGTACTTACACGAAGCAAGAAAGGCAAATAGCCCAGCAGTGTTGATAGTTTCCCGTCTCTCGTCTTATACGTGTCCACATCTGAGTTTTGCAATGAAAGCAAATTAAAAAAGTTAGTCATAATCATTTATGATTACCATAAATTCTCTATTAGAGGCCCGGGCCTATAATTGAAACTTCAGAAACCGAGCCTCAGAACCCAGCCTTTATTAGAGACCCGGCCAATAACCAAAACCTGGTGTTGTTGACCCGGCTTGTATTAGAGATACTTTGTGGAATTTTTTAAATAAATAAATATAGCAAACTTAATTTATCCTCCTTCAAACAATGAACAATGTTATGTTCTCTTTCTTCTCAGCCATCTTCAATGGGCTTGTTAAAGCACATATTTTGAACGAATTCAATATTGTGTCTAATGATAAACTATCCAATGCTTTCTAAACCCCTCGACAAGCAAAGATTTTCATTGTTTGAAGATCAATCAAAGATTTTTTTATTTCGTGCATCCTCGCGGAATGATCTTTTGCTTGTTGCTTTGAAAACGCAAATTTTTTATGACATTTGTCAAGTCATTCTCCTGTAAGTTTCGAACCGCAGAATCGCCCGGAAAAGTCTACTGATTGTAGTTCAAATTTTACTGTGAAGCTTCGTCGTGGAAGAATTATTCGTTATTAATTATTACATAATTATTACTACATTTATTTATAATTACGTAAGTACGTATTAATAATTCGTCGTGGCGTATTGGGGGGAGAAACCCGGCCTATATTAGAGACCGGCCTCTAATAGAGACCCGGCCAATAAACCAAAAAGCAGGCCTGTAGACCCGGCCTTTATTAGAGGCCGGCCTCTGTTAGAACCCCGGCTAGTAATAAAGGATTTACGGTAATTTATATATCATAAATATCAGTACAAATGCAAAAGGCACTTTTTAACTTGCAGGTATCTACATATTTGCATTTATGTATGTGCAAACACGTAAAAAAACCAAGGGATAATTTTGATAATTATATGCACCCTAGTCTCTGCAGAATTGGAAATGAAATGTAAAACAAAATCCAAACAACTTTGTCAACATCTTTTATTTTATTTTTGAAATAATTATGTCAGATATTAAGTTTTTAGTTTCAACGGGATGGGTAGTACTTGTCGTTTTTCACGTAGTTATTAAAATTATGCAAGCATATGAATTTAGTTGTGATACGTGAAGTTTATCGAAGGACGACGGGTCTGTCAAGTCCATCGATTTCTGCCCAGTTTGCAGCAACAATTGTATCTGTATAGAAGACATTGACTTAGTTAATATGAGTTTTGTAGTTCTAATAAATTTTTCCGAATTGAGACTCTCAACTTCCTGGAAAGGGATTCTATTCATCAAATTTTGAACTTACTGATGGAAGTTTCTTTCGTACATACACTCCATATAATCTGGTATTGAATATGTAAATGAAGTCTTAGTGGCCTTTTAACAGGACAAATATTACCGAGTGGTTACAACATGTTCTTGCATGGAAGCGAATAATTGTCATAGGATTTTGGTAGTAAGTTTATCTATTAAGTTCTACCTTTGCAGATGGTATTACGACAGTTGAAAGTCCCATTATAATTATTTAATAACTTTACCACTAGCGTTTATCCAACCGGTTTTATCTATTGCGTCCAAAAACATCCCGATAGTGCAAATTTTTCCTTTGCAACCGCAAACTGCCTCGACCAAGTCTTTCAAAAGAGAATAAGTCCCGACTATTTGTGGGCATTGGTGATACTTTCGTTCCAACTCTGTCCTCTTATCTATCGGAATATCTAGTTCAGCCAGAAGCTGCTGATAAATAGAGAGCACACCATGTGTTTGGTTCATTGCGTTAACGAGCTTGCCCTCTATGGCATCTTTTACCCTACTGCCTTCCTTTGTTGGCCAAAATACTGAAATAAATATAGGACAAAATCATTATACATATAAACACAATTTACGTAAGCAAAGAGTCTCCATTATGGAGGATACATATGTAAAGAACGCGATTGATTTTTGGGTAATTTTACTGTAATTTCTGTTGAAAATTTCTACCCCTCCACAAGCCATCATTTAGTAAAATATTCGACTTCAAAATAAACCCGGAAGGGTCACAGCACATATCGTGACCCTGACGCTGTACCACTTGATCGATCTCACCATTACTGCAAATAACGGTGGACATCCAAATTTTGTATAATGTTCTACAACACAATCTTTTCTATGCATGCGGAACCGCGGACGACACCGAATACACTCGCGGTCCCGTTATTAACTGTTTGTTTTCTTTTGCTAAACTTACAAGAAATTTGGGAAACTTCCTCTTTCGTCCAGGTCGTATTGGTGGATCCCATTGTAACTGTCGTAGACGAAAGCATTGCTAAAAGTATAAAAATTTCAATGTGTAAGAGTTAGTAATTTAATCGTTGATAGTAATACACGTTCAGCAGTGACTGATGGATTATGCAGAAATTCCTTGGTATAAATACATGTATGATAAATGCATTTGCACCAACATGAAATTGGGTTGATACGTATAAATTGAAGTGACCAGACCAGAAGATAAAATCTGAACGTGTCTGAAGCCAATGCAAACAATAAATTCTGATAAGAGTCGTTTTGAAGTAAGAGACTCGTTTGGTATGTATGCAAAGAACATACGGACATATGTAAATTTTATGCAAACCTAAATATGTATCTGTTTAATCCTGTCAAACAAGTATTCAAGCATTTAGTAAGTACAAGCTTTATGTATGTAAAAGTAAATATACAAACGGTCACTGTTTAACTTGTCTACATTATACGTTTGTACGAATTCGTTTTCATATACATACATTTGTGCATAAATTACGTAATATATAGGTAGTAAAAACTAGTTGATAATATTGATCACTACCTTATTAAACATAAAATTGCAAACATATATTCTAATGGAGGAATATGAAATAACTGGGCTATAGCCCGAATTTTTCGAATTTTTTCGGGATTTTGCAGATTTTGAAATTCAAAATTTCGACATTTTTTGAAAATGAATTTTTATATACTACAAGACGTAATTTTAACCAAACAATGCCCGCCACGCATTTAAATTTGCGCATTAAAAAAACCTCTAGTACAGCTTTGCTTACCCCGAGCCAGGGTTGGTCAGAAATCTTCATGTGAAGTTTTAGCTTGATTAGACGATTTTTAAAAATCGTTGTGGGTAGCCCCATAGGGTCCCTCCACCTGAATTTTTGTCCAATTTCACTTCGTATTCTTTCATTGGAAGTCATTACCAACCTCTATGCCAAAATTCAGCTTAATTGAGTGATTTTACAAAATCAGTATGGGTCACCCCACAGGGTATCTCTGGTTCAAAATTTTCAAAATTGTACATCATAAGCTCTCATTATAAGCTGTTATCGACTTCCATACCAAATTTCAGCTTAATTGGACGATATTGAAAACCAGTTCGGGTGACCCCATAAGGTCCCTCCAGATAAAAATTTTCGCAAATTCACTTCATATCCTTTCATTAGAAGCCATTAGTTACCTATGTACCAAATTTCAGCTTTCTACAATTTTGAAAATTTGATGCATAACAACCCCACCACCCATATGACCCCCACCGGCCAACCACTTGACCGATTTTGCTCATCTTCGAACTCGATTTGTCTTTCGGGTCGATATAGATGTGGTAAAAATTTCAAGTCGATCGGTTGCGTTTAAAGAGAGGTATTGCGAAGACAGACGGACAGACAGACAGGCAGAGAGACATACAGACATAACGGGTACATAAGCCCTGGCTCGGGCTAAAAATACAAAACTAAACGTTGGTTGGGTTGACATGAACTACCTAATTTGTGTGGTAGCATTCAAATCCGAGCGTAGCCGCTGACACGTCCGCATTGTAAGTCATCAATCATGATATTGGGCACAGACATGGATATCCGCGCCGCGGATATCCGCGGATTCCGCGGATTACACACAAAACTTGCCAAGCCTACATGATTTCTTATTGCAAATGTATGTAAGTCTTACCTGTTTTGTAATTGGGTGACGTAATACAAATCTTGTCAATATCTGTGCATATTTTAACTTTTGTCATAGCATTTAAGCTCGGTTTGTCTGTTAATGATACCATTTACCCCCGATTAGGTGAGGGTCATCATCCGAATAACGGTTTATTGATGTTGATGAGGTCGGTGTTAGCTAAAAGATTGTAATTATGGTTTAATTTGATTCAGACATTAACTTTGGCAATTTGAACCATTTGTAAATATATTATTACTGTCAGTTTATTTGCGTTAGGACCGGAAGTTTTTCCTAGATCCTTTCCGCGGGATGGGTTGCCTTCTCTACATATTATATCTGAAGACAATAGTCCTTCAACCGCAGCAAAAACTGGTGGAGGACTTGGAGTACCGTCCTTATACCAAGTTACCACACATTTCCCTATAGGTTTAGACTTCTTATACTTCAAATTAACTAGTTTATTCCCATTTACTAGTTTAACTCCTACGTTTGTATCCTCCAGTTCAATATCATATAACTCATTGTTTGACCCATCAATTTCAACTCCAGTAATATGATCACGTAAGGAAATATGTTTGAATAGACCACCGTCACAATCAACTTGTATACCATTAAATGACGATTCTATATTAATATTTTCCAGGTAGGGTCCCTTACCACACAATAAAACAGAGTTGAACCCTCCATAGCTGTTCAAATCTTTAATTTTGACACTATCTCCGTTGACCATGATTCCCGTTGAGTTTGGTCTATCTTTCATATCAAGTTTGATTCCTTCCAGGGAAACCCCATCGGACGTAATATGCACAATTGGATCATAAGAATCATCTTTAGGCTTTAATGAAACGTAACAATTTGCGGCGAACAATTTTATGTTTTTCTTATCTAAGTAAAATGGGCCTACGTACTGCCCTGGTTGTAATAGAATAATATCCCCCTCATCACATTTTCTAAGCCGGTCGCTTAGCTCCAAAGATGTTGCAACTAAACTTGCTGACAGCTCTAATTTAATCGAGCTAATATCTGACACAATTGTGGAGCAAAGAAAGGTCTCAATTAGCTCCTTGCTGTTTTTTACCAAGCCGTGCGTTTTTATCAGTTCTGTGCCGTCCTGGTAAAGTATTTTGTTAATCAGGGAGTTCTGACTGAATTGTTCCACAATTTGAAAGACTTCCAACGCAACGCAACCGGTGTAAAAAATATCTACCCTCGGTTTGTTCTCTTCTAGTCCTCGAGCTGGGTATTTTTTTAATTTTGCCTGAGTAGACAAGCACTGTGCGTTACACATAAAAGAGGACGACAATCCTACATCACTTATTATTGCAACTGGTGCATTTTTTCCCGACTGAATTGAGGGTATCAAAATAAATATATTTTCTGGTCGAATATCTCCATGATAAATAAAGTTTTCATGGAGGAAAATGAGCCCATCCAATATATCTTGAACTACTTTATACTCAGAGTATTCATTTCTCTCCGTGTTGGGCTCCATGTCGAGGAATATTCTCAGTGATGTGTTATAAAATTTCATATGAATTTGTAAATTAATTACTTGTGTATTTTTTATTCTCGAAAGTAATATTTTAACAAGTTCCAGCATTTTTTTCCCATGTTCCGAGCACTCACTCGAGGGCACCAACTTGCGTAGTTTTTTTAGGTGGGAAGCTTTAACTTCACCCGTTTCAATTTTTAGTATTTCATAAATATTATCGTGCTTATGCGTACTGAGTGTAGTGTGGTCGTCACATATTTTAGATATTATATCGATATTCGAATTTGCTACTTCGTCATATATATATAGATTTTTAATTGCTTTAAAATGTCCCGTTTCTGTCTCTGCCTTGATGACAAATCCAAATTTCCCCGATCCTAGAATTGTGTTTGATATTGTACTTGGGTTGGACTTTATACTACAAAACATTTTATTGTCAACGAAGTAGTTTTTGATTAACGACTAAAGATACCGTATTTGTCGGTTTGCTCGACATACTATTTTATCAGCATTGAAATACAAGGAATATATGTTGCACCCGTTATGCACAGTTACTGCTTACGTAAGAACATGAACGCGCCCCCTGCTTACTACACTCGCAACTTTATCCAAGCAAGGCAAATGTGGAAGAACATTCGGGATGGTATGAATCTATCTAAATGTACAAGTGAGTGTTGTCCAGTATTGCGTTAATTTGAATGCCTTTTGATTACAGAAGAGACAGGATCCGTTGGCCAGCCTGTTTATGGTTATTTTACAATTGTCAGTTACGTGATAAACTCAGATTATCAGCTAATGACACGGTATGAATCAAATTGAAAGAGCTCCAACATTTAATGTGTGTTTGACCAGGAATGGAGAGTTTTATCACTAGAAATACATAACGACCTATGCCACACTCTTAGAAACCTGGTATTAAAGTAATATCAAGTGGAGTACGTATTTGACTATACCAAATTTGTATTGAACCGTACCAAACTGGTATCAACTCGGTATGAAAATAGTACTCTACGGTAATAATTTTAGTACTACCTGGTATTGAATTTTGAACCATGTAGTATTGATCCAATACCATATCAATACCAGGCGGTAGAGTCATACATATATCTATGTATACCGTTGATTATTGATTTTATTTAGAGTGCACTTACCTGATAAAATTATAAAGTAATGTATTGACGTTGCCTATCTGTACCTCTACCGAGGAATATGAGAGAAGTGAATAAATAATAATACTTGATAAGATAAGCACAAATTTATCGGAGTGGAACCTTGCAGCCATGCATCAGTTTTAAAATATTTCAATCACACCTTGTAAAAATCGCATCTGGTGTGAACTATTTCAATTATATGTGTATCTAATTAACATTTTTATCTTACAAACATGGAGGAAATCGAGACAAGTCCAAAGGCCGTACTTAAGTCATTAAAATTCATTAGTGTGCTAGGGTTCGGTAGTTTTGGAATTGTTTTCAAGGCACACAACAAATCAACATCAGAGCAATCAGCAGTAAAACTACTATTTCCTAGCAGTCAGGACGACACGTGGGATAAACATTTTGAGACATCAATTACACAGAGTTTAAATCATCATGAAAATATTGTAAATACGAATCGAGTTTTTGAAAAAGCTTTTACACGACGGGAGCTTCTTTCTCTACTCAAGAACGTAGAACTGGATGAACTTGGAAACACGTTTCTAGCCATACCCTTACACCGGGCGGAAACTTATGGAGAAATTAATTGTTGCTTTATTCAAATGGAGTTATGTGGTTTCACACTACGCACCTGGTTACAAAGTGACAATTGTAAAAAAGCCAAAGATACTATGGATGTCAAGATAGTGACAAGTATTGTTAATGGACTTGGATTTCTTCACAGCAACAACATTATTCATAGAGATTTGAAGCCAGAAAACATATATTTTAGTAAGGACTACCAGTTTCCAATAAAAATAGGAGATTTTGGTGTGTCAAGAATATTTGAACATGAATCTCCAGACACGCTAACATCGGGTATCGGAACGCCGTGCTACGCCGCTCCAGAAATATTCACAGGGCATTATAGTGCTCAGGTCGACCTGTTTTCTATGGGACTAATAATATTTGAAGTTCTACAAAAAATAGAACCTGGGGAAAGGCTTTACTTATTTAATAGGCTTGTCTCCGATAGGGATTACACCGTTATTAAGCGACACAATCTGATAATAAACTCGAGAGAAATTATTGTTGCACTAACTAATAAGCATGCAGAATTGAGGATTCAAAAAGTGGAAGACATACATTTCATATATGCAAGTGACGACGATTCCTCCCATGGCTCATCTGGCTCATCTTTATTATCCTTGGGACCATTGGAACTACGTGTAAATACGATGACCATTAATAGAAAAGGTAATTAATTTAGACACACCAATAATTTTTGAAAATCCATTACACCCAGCCAAACTATGGGTTACGGTTGCAAGGGATTATTTGGCTGACTTTTAATAAATCAAGGCTAATTTGTTAAAAAGAAGGTATGTGTCTGACCCTTTTACCTAGCGCTCAGATAATTATACCAAGTATACAAATTAGCTGGCCAGGTCAAAGAAGCTCAAAGAAATGTATCGTTTGTTTTATTTGCATTATTATATTACTTGCCACCGATAAAGCATTTGAACACAATAGGGTTTTCAAATTAACATCGTCTCATTTAAGCTTATCACACCTGTTTGCAGTTGCAAAACAGAGTTCGATTAGGTCACGAAATTAAAGTATGTCTTAAATTAAAGAAAAGGCGATTACCTTTGCATTACCATATCGCATCATGGAGTACACTCCATGATATCCGGCTTGTCCAAGATTTTCTCTACCCTTTCTCATAAGGTAGAGTACAGTTTTTTTTTAAGAATTGACATAAATTTTTCGGTTGGTTATTAACGGTAGCATAAAGGTAAACATTAAACCTCTCTCTTTGGAGGGGAAATCACTTGAGTACAGTGACTCCTGCAAATATTTGTGGGTCACGCTCGATTCAAAACTGAACTGGAGACTACATTGTGAAAGGAAGGCTCGGTCTGCAACTGTGTCTCTCATGCAATGTAGGCGGGCTATTGGTCCCACCTGGGGTCTGGACTCCAAAGATAATCCAAAGACTGGATCCCAAATCCAGTCTTTGGATTTACACTGCTGTTGTATGGCCGGCTATTTAATACGCTGCAATGGTCTGGCTGCCGGCAACGGACAAAATGTTCTGTAATAGGTTAAGGAGGGTCCAGGGGCTTGCCTTGCGCATGGTCACTGGTACTCTCCCCTTCACTCCCATTGCAGCACTTGAAACCTTATTAGGCGTCCTCCCAATTCACATTAGACTGCAGCAAGTGGCTCTCAAGTCTTTTCTTAGGCTTAGGGGCCGTGGTCATTAGGTGGATTGGGTAGGTTATGGTAGAGGTCTAAAGAGGGCTACCCACATTGAGGTATGCACAAGTCTGGCTCGGAAGATACCCCAGTTGGGCTTCCCTTTTGACCTTAAATCAGTCCAACCTGCCGAGGCCTGTATGTTTAACATACGGGTCGAGAAACGGGCTGACTGGGCTGACGCTTATGGCGACCACTCGGCTTTTCCTGGGCTCTTATGTTTTACAGATGGGTCCAGGGTGTCGAATGGTTCAGGGGCTGCGTTTTTGATTGGTGTAAAAGGAAAGTTCCTGGTTGGGGCTAGTGGCTGTGTTCCCCTGGGGAAATATGCCACGGTCTTCCAGGCGGAGCAGATTGGGGTGCTTATGGCGATTGAGTTTTTGTCAACCCATCCCTTTCCTCATAACACAGTTAATATTTTTGTTGACAATCGTAGTGTCCTGGATTCTCTCACGAGTGGGCGACCTGTGTCGAATCTCACTGTGGAGCTTCGTAGGGCTCTACAACAACTTAGTCTTCACAAAGAGGTTACTCTACACTGGATTCCGTCTCATACGGGACTTTAGGGTAATGAAGATGTGGATGAATTGGCTAAGGAGGCTGCCAGTAGCGTAGTCTGGGGTCCCGATCCAATCATCCTAGTTAACATAGTCACTGGCAACAGTGCTATTAAGCGATGGGCCCAACATAAACATGGGGTGTACTGGTCGAACTTGCAAAACTGCAAGATATCTAAACTGGCCCTTCCCATTCCCCATGAAGGCGCCTTAGTGGGAAATCACTGTGGCCTTCTAGGGCTGGAATGAGGCTAGTTACCTTTGCGGTTACAGGTCATTGTAGTTTAAATGGGCATATGTGTAAGATGGGTCTTGTTCAGTCTGCTACCTGCACTTTGTGCGGGGAGGCAGAGGAAACTATGGCTCACATCTTAACGGACTGCCCTGCTCTCAGTGCCCTGAGATTCTCTAGCTTTCAATGTCATACTTTGAGGGCTGAAGAAGTATGGGAATATCCTCTAAAAACAATTCTGGGCTTTTTGTTAAGGTCCGGTAGATTCGCTAGTTTTGTAACTAGGGAATCAGGAGGTTTCCCACAACAGTAATCGCGTGCGAATGTATTGAGTAGTCTGCAATAGGTCCAAATCTTGACCTTCGCGGCTGGGCTTCTATCTTGTATGGGCAGTGGTCCTACTCACATAATACATACAATGGTGGCATATCTAAGTTTCATAATTGCCCAAAAAATTTCGATCGTTAGGTGCATTTTCTTTCTCTTGGACGTAAGCAACTTTCCCTTCTGGAAATACTTCGTTACGGTTTATGCTTAACCATGTCTTGCCAAAACAGCACATCATCAATCTTGTGATGCTTTCTGACGAAGTGAAGTAGTACCTTCATAATGCACTCCTTTACGTAAAGTTTTGCATTCATGCTCCCCTTAAAAACACAGGGTATGATTAGAGTTGTACTCATTCCCGCGCCCAGGGCATGTAGGCATTTATGACATGCCCTATTTGCCCAATTTGCCCGGCATTTTGAAAGTAGGGCATTTTAGGCATTTTGAATTTTAACCAGATTTTCCTATTTTTAGAATAAAACAATCGCAAAATATATACAATTAAACGATTATTAGCCTATCCTGGGAATATGGACACATTCTGAAACTTTATCTGTAAAATTCGTTTTGCACATATATATGTATTTAGGTGCGTTCTTTGAAACTTGGATCGTTTTTTAGCATAGAAAACATTTATGTTTTACTGAACTGGCATTAATTTAAAAATAGTTCACTAATTGATTTTCAATGAATATTTAAATATTGTGCATATTGAGTTTAGATTTTAAAATGGTTAGCTAAAGTTAAGCGTTACAATCCTCCAGATACATATCAAAAACTGTCTTTATTTACTAATATTCTAAACTTTATTAATTTTAAATTTTCAATTTTAAATTCTTAACTTTTGACAACAAAGATTTTAAATATAAAATGCAAATGCAAACTTTGCCGTTGCATTGGGCATGTGACAGATAAATGCCCAATAAATGCCCAATAAATGTCTAATATTCCCAATATATGCCAAGTAAATGCCCTAAATTCCCATAAATGCCTGGCATTTTCGACTGAGGGCATAAATGGCATTTATCGGGCATTTATCGGGCATATTGGGCACGAAGGAAAGTACGGGCATTTATTTTCGTGCCCTGGGCATTGTACAACAGTGCCATCTTCATTCATGCAGCCGACTTTCTCCGGGTACTTCTCCCCTGGTTTGATCCGGGATTTCAAATGAACTGAATTGGGACTGGAGGAATGCTAGAAATATTGACAACCATTGAGATTGGGGTGGTGGCAAAAGTAGGACTCATCCTCGATGATGAGATGTTTCCATGACCCAGACAGAAAAATTTTTCTGTATATTTTCAGGCAGCTCCTTTTAGTCTTAAAACTTTGACCTTTCCTATATTTTAGCACATTCTGCTTCGTGTTGGCCGTAACGCAGAGCTACTTAAGTTTAATTTTTGCTAGCCTTGACCTCCAAATTTTTAGTATTTTAGCTGTTTTGTCAGTCACCCATTCTAACTTTCTCCACTTTATTTTTGGAAATTGTTCGCACACATTTACCAAAAGTTTTATCAATTCGACGTTTATGTATTATTCATAGTGTTGTAAAAGCTGGTATATGCTCCGTTTGGATATTTTTTGTTCTTAAAACGTTGGTTCTTTCTTGCATCAAAAAGATAGTACTGTACCATCTCGTTTCGTTTGGTAAAGGAGCTGACATTTTGGGAATAATGTTTTGACAATTTTCTGCTTCGGCTTATTTTCACCGCAAGGCTCTTAGAATTAGTCTTTGAAATGCACCATTATATTTACCCATTACAGTATACTGAAGTTGTGTTAAGCTTAAATGAGACGATGTTTATCTCAAATTATTACTTTAATAGCGTGTAGAGCTGACTAGGTATACTCGCGACCTGTCGTCTGGACCTAGCTATCCCACTATGCTTTTTAGAACCTACTTAGGTCCCATACGAAGGATACAATCTTATTTCCGTGCAAAACTTATATTTGGCGCCAAGGCTTGGCGTCAAATTTAAAAAGATGGATTTTCGACCAAGTTCAAACCTGTGTAACTTTTTAAGTTTAAACGGGATTTTCAAAATTTTTGGATCAAAATGATCACAAAAATCATAATTTTATTAAATAAATGAAAAACGAAAATTTTTAATTTTTCAATGATTTCTAAGCTTTTTTGGCTCGACTCCTTGATCGGATAATTTTCGAAAATTTCGAAAATTTCGAAAAAAATAAATTTTTGCTTTTGTGTGAAAATTTAACTGTTTCTTGTCATTTTGGTAATAAAAGTTTGAAAATTCATGAATCGAACCGAATCTCCAAAGTTATAGCGATTTGAAAAGTACAAAACACACAAATTTGGCGTCACACCACGGCGCCAAATATGAGTTTTACACGGAAATAATATTGGATCCTTCATATGGGACCTAAGTAGGTTCTAAAAAACGTAGTAGGATAGCTAGGTCCAGACGACAGGTACCTAGTGAGTTTTATTTGATATTGATCAAGTCACAAAGTTGCCCAAAAACTTATGCATATTGCGAAAATTGTGGACCTTTTCATCTGCATTTGTTTCTTAATACCCCGTTTTAGCAAATGGTCAAAACCGTAAAAATACTACATTTTTCACCACAATTTTTGTTAAATCTATAAGCGAGCGGTTATACATTATCGATGGGTGTGGAATGTACAATTTTAGTGTGAAGTATAATCACTCCCGAGACGTACCAGATGCCGTGGGATATTCTATCCAGTCAATGATATTCCCTTTCCTACAATGATATTGTCCCCATATGTCTTCCAAATTTCCACCGCCACTTAATTTCAAACTAATTTATCACTTCAAAATTCTGAGCACATTCATAAAAAAAAACTATTAAAATAATGATTTTCGTTATGCTCCACAGGTGGAAGTAGCCTATTAGAGTATGGAGTCCGGAAACCTGTCTCAAATTTTGTCGGTCGTAACGAACAACTTGCATGTATGCGTGAATGGATCAGGCGAGTTAATCCCGGGGTCCTAGTACTATCAGGAATGGGAGGAATTGGAAAAACAGAACTAGCTCGTCACTTCATTGAAACGTTTACTTTTTACAATACTAGCTCATGTATAATCACATGGTTCGATGGACTTTCAAATTATGACTTGCACAAATCTTTACTTCAACTCAGCAAGTATTTGGGATTTGTTGATTCTGAACAACATGAACTACAATCTATTGACGGAATTATTATAAACATAACAAAAAACATCGAGCAAAAAATAAGACCACAACACCCTACTGCAAAATGGATAGTTGTCTTTGACAATGTTTTCGAAGATGACGGACTAACCAACGGATTGAAAAGTCTTATTAATGCTAACGCTTTCATATTGATAACAACACGAAAGTCGGGCATGTTTGCTGGTGAAGCGGAACAAATTTGTCTGCAGTCCTTCACAATACGAGAAGCGTGTACTCTGGCTAACGTGTTAATTTCTGTATCCAATCAACAAGCAGTTGAACAATTATGTGCTACACTTAATTATCATCCCTTAGCAATACAACAAGCCATATCGTATATAAAATGTCAGCAAGTTACTTCCCTTCGTGGAAGCTCTTATGGCATAAGTAGTTTTATTAAGGAGTGGTCCGGAGATAGCATACATATTTTGAAACATGAACTAAAATTAAGCTCCTATAATGTTAGCGTATACAAAATGGTAACAGGCACAATTGAGCAGATTGAATCGCTCTTTAAGGACAGAGGAGACCGGGCAATTCAATTACTTTTGATATTATCTTTAGTTCAGTGTGAAGGAATTAGGCTTGATGTTCTTTATCATCTGCTTAACGACTGTGACAAATCTTCTCTGGGTAGAATTCTAGACTGCGAGGATACCGACCTAATGGAAATTATTGAGTCGGAGTTGGCTTTATTAAAATGTTTTTCCTTGATCGAATTGGAGGCCGATATAATTACTGTTGTGAGATTGGTTCAAATCGTGATAAAAAATGTGTCACCCTGGGAGGATGTAATTACCATATTAATGGATGGTATTAAAATTGAAGGAATTTCCGAGTCTTTAATTAATCCTGCGGTATGTATATTGTTTCATGCTCAGGGTACCGATAGGATTTTATGTAAATTCCGCTCTCCTGCATTTCCAAGACGACTAGAGATGAGAATTTCTTCGTTCGGAATGAATTATAAGGACATCATGAGAAATAATCGAACCCAGTTTTATAGTGTTTTCAGTGGAGATAATATTTTAGAAAATACGGGACGGCCAAAAAAAGCCAGTCAAGGAACCGACCATGTTCAACTTGGTCGGAAAATTTTATTAAAACGAAGTCGGAAAACCGTGCTCGATTTTAAATCCTATAACCAAAAAATCGATAAAAACGAAATTCAGAAGCGAAATTGCATCCTTTGCTAGTATTGTAGGAAGTACCATTCATAGCGTAATTTTAGTACTGAATAAATACTACAAGTTATAACTCATAACATAACATTTTTAATGCCGAGAGAGTTGGTATTCAATTCAATAGTTTATTCAAGTGTAAAAGAAATACATAATATGAGGGTTCACGTTGATCTCAGCATTGTGACACATTGGTTAAAATAAGTTATAAAAATAGATGTATAGATATTGCAGCTCTGGTATTGGAAAACTGCAATCTTGTCTTTACATACTACTAAATTTTGTTGTCGCACGTTTGGGCGATACATGACGCTCGCCTGCAGGAAAACTCATTCATTTCACACTTTCCACACAGTCCATTCCAACTCCAGTCCAAACGCAAAATTCGAAAAATTGGTATCACCACGTAAGAACAAATATTTTTAAGTTTACAGGTATCACAAGTTAATTAATTAAGATCTATTTAACACTTTTGACTCTCGTATTGTATTTATTAGTGAAAAATTAATTCAAATTGGATCCGACAGCACTTATTAGATCCAGTGATGAATACCGAAACCGTGGAGGATTTTTAAATCTTCCAATTTTCCTAAACTACAATCCATCACAATCAAGTTACTGTAAGTGTATTTACTAAATAATTATTATTCCTCATAGTATGTATATTGTCAGGTCTAACTGTTAAACCTGTCAAAACAAGGGGTAATTGTGAACATGCTTCGGCTGTAATTTGTCATCCCTATTTCGTTAAAATAGTTTTATTTACATAATTACAGAAAATAGCCAGATTATAGGATCAACACCTCCTCGCCTCAACAATTGTGGAAACTTTCTCCATTTGGCGTTGTTGTGGGTCAACAGATGGCTGTGTAGGTTTTAAAACATAGGACAATTGCAAAATTACGACATGACTAGTTAGTTTGTTTAGAAAAGCGTTAGTATTTATAAAATATTTAGCCATAAATTTCGTCAAATAAGTTGTATAACGAATTACGTAATGCCATACGAAAAATAATATTTCTGTACATATGTTAATGTTCACATGTATGTATGTATCATCCCTATTTATGTTTATACTTATAAGTAGTTTATGTACAGCCTGTAATCATAAGTATTGGTAATTTACATAAATTTTATTACATGACTCATGATCTTTGACATTTGAAATTTTACACATAGCGGAATAAACTAATCAGCGAATAGCAAATAAAGAATGCAATACATTAAATTGCAATCGATGTCTTGTTTCTCCATAATTTGGCATTAAGGAATTCAGAACAATTCATATGCGTAGTACACACTATAATATATATTAAATAACTTTTCGACATACCTATATATATTTACAAGTTAATGTCAGGCCCATATAAATATGTGTCAATATATAAGGAAGGCCTTCGCGATTTTTTCAAGTCATCAAATTATTTAAAGCAGGAGAACAGTGATCAAGAAATCCATACTTTGCTGAAATTTCTGTCTTTTACTTATTGAGGAGTAACAGCCTAAACCATAGATATGTTACATATTACTACTTTACACACATTTGCCGCCATGCTTTTCTCACCAACACCTTAATCCCAGCAACCACCCGTTTTCTCACTTCAATTAAAAACAACACAACCCCGATGCCATTTCCAATTATGGAAATCAGAATGGAATTTATGGGTGAGTCTGTCTCATCCTCGATATCATTAATCTTTACTCCTTGTTCCACCCTTGCTTCATACTCCTTTCTTGCCCTGTTCCGCCCAATGGCAATGTTCGAAACGCCCCATCCTTCCCACCATTTCTCCATGATCCCGCCGGAAAAGGATCCCCGCGTATATTGTTCGAATCGAGCTGAAAAATATTTAGGGCCCCATTATGAATTTGCAGACTCGAATTGCAACAAAATTGTAAAACAAAATCGAAACTAAGGGCCGAATTACTAATGAACACTTGGTTTTGAGTGAGGGGTTGCCCTCACTTGAGTGACCTCTTAGTGTGAGGGTACACTCATACTCATTTTCATATTAATAATGAAAACTCGGGGTTCACTCAGCTCACCGAGGTTCCTAGCGAGCCACCACCGGCCACCTCAATTTTCAGCTGTCCCGTAAGGATAACATGTGTTCTCTGTATCTCTGATATACCCCATAGTATCCATTCCTGGTTAGTACTAAAAAATTGTCCAAAAAATTAGAATTATTTTGAGAAAAAAAAATTCTGCGAATAGTTTATACTTTTGGCGTGAGCGGGGTTCAAAGTTGAGGTTTACAAGAGGAGTGTTTCAAGTGATAATCACGGATTTTACATAAAATACATCAAATTCATCTAAATGTTTATTATAATGAAGTGCAATTAGCTGAAATGTGAGTAATAGTCATAATACATGATGTTATAGCATGCTAGAGAGAAGTTGGCCGTATTTTCGTAAAAAATAGATATTTTTTTTTTTTTTTTAATAAATATTATTTTTTACGAAAATACGGCCAACTTCTCCCTAGCATGCTATAACATCATGTATTATGACTATTACTCACATTTCAGCTAATTGCACTTCATTATAATAAACATTTAGATGAATTTGATGTATTTTATGTAAAATCCGTGATTATCACTTGAAACACTCCTCTTGTAAACCTCAACTTTGAACCCCGCTCACGCCAAAAGTATAAACTATTCGCAGAATTTTTTTTTCTCAAAATAATTCTAATTTTTTGGACAATTTTTTAGTGCTAACCAGGAATGGATACTATGGGGTATATCAGAGATACAGAGAACACATGTTATCCTTACGGGACAGCTGAAAATTGAGGTGGCCGGTGGTGGCTCGCTAGGAACCTCGGTGAGCTGAGTGAAGTAAAAGCTCACACTCAACGAGTTTTCTCACACTCAACAGGGAAAATTTTGTTGAGCGTGATTTAAATATTAATAAATTTTTTTTAATTTTCGTCGTAAATTTGGATTTTCTGTTGGAAATAATTTAAATACACATTAACGTAATGAGATCTGACGACGAGTCATTGTCACAAGTTGAAAATGTGCCACTTAAAGGGGGGAAAATGCAGTCTCGGTTTACGGAGTTCGAAAAGTCGCTCCTACTGGAACTCATTTCATCAAAGCGTAATGTTCTTGAGTGCAAAAAATCCAACCCAGAGTCGGTTGTAAAAAAGCAGAAAGCCTGGACAGAAGTGGAAACAGAATTCAACTCGTCAGGCAATGTCGTGAAGAGGTCGTGTCAACAATTGAAACGCGCATGGGAGAATTTTAAAACACAGGCAAAGAATGAGGTACATATAACTTTATAACATTATTGTATCATAATTATAATTATTATAATTTCACTCTTCTAGAAAGCTCAAGCCGTGCGGAGCTAGAAAAAAACCGGAGGGGGCGCACCCGCAAATGAATTAAGCAAACAAGCTGAACTCGTGTGTTCCATAATCCTGTCGCAGATGAGCCCTTTACCCAATGAATTTGATTCTGATTGTTTATGTATGTATAATAGTCAGCTAAATTATTGACCATAATATGAATTATATTTAACTAATGAGTTGCACTAAAATAAATTTCAGACGGCGAGGAACAGAAGAAGGAAACCAGTGCTTCTAAACTCCCTAAAATCTTGCGATCTTCCGAAGACGTGACAGACAGTAATTATGGTATGTACATGAATAATATTAAATTAACAAATTGCTATTTATTTTAAATCAACGAGAATGATTTACTTTTCATTTATAGAGAAGGAGAGAGTTCGTCTGGTCGACAAGAGATCGTTTGTTATTCAAATTGAGGAGAAGGAACACGAATTAAACATGAAAATTTTGCAAAAAAATGGATTATCAACAATTGAAAATTCAGAAAATTAAGCCTGAAATGGAGGTTTTTCAAAACGAATCTCAACAAAAACTGAAACTGATCGAGCTCCAGATAGCCTCCTCCAACCCGGTGCAACAAGTAGTAATCTGCCAAAATAATGAAGTTGGATTACTTAATACATATTAACCGTTTTATGTTCTATTTCTGCTGCTTGTAATCTTTTGTTCTCACCTTTTATGAAAAACGTGTTAGTATGATTTCGTTCTCTTTTGCTCGTCCGGGTAACGTTGCACTTGGCCTTGACTCATGTTCCTCTCTTAATTCCGGCGGATCCACATTGTCATGGTCAAATAAATCCAAACGCTTTCTATAATAATAACCCTGCTGTGCTTAAGCTTACTCATGTCTATTATTTATATATGAGTGCAAGGGAGGAATGATGGCACCTCGTCGTATCGGGGAACAAAGATCATCTTTGATAAGCTGGAATACAAACAACACTGTCCTTTTTGCCAAGCGATATCGCCGTTTGAACGCCCCTTCATCATACACGTCGAAAGGATTCAGGCGGTCGCGAAGACGTGCTCGGAAAAAGTGGCGTAGGCGTTGTCGGCGCCGACGATCAAAACGGTCGAAACGTTCAGACATTGTGAAAAAAATAGTTTTTCTTGTGACAAAACACGAATTTCTGCTTAAAACACTGTTTTATTTTTCGTTAAGTGAGCCCCTGACCTCCCTTAAAAATTCTGAGTATTTACTCAGGATGAGTAAACGCGTTAAGTTGTCATTAGTAATATCAAACTGGTTCCCTTTCTAGAAAAGTTGAGTGTTTACTTACACTCAACGGTGAGTTTTCATTATTAATTCAAAAATGGCTAAGTTAAGGGTTCACTCATACTCAAATCCCTTCAAGTGTTCATTAGTAATACGGCCCTAAGTATCTAGTTAAGTATCGCAAACAAATTTGAAGCAAAAGCATTCATTGCGAAATTCTTCTGAATTGTTGCTAACGTTACGATCAATACTAACTCGTAATGAATACCATCATTATCTTAGTTAAAGTGTTAAAATTAGGAATTTGAAAATCTTCCTTACATTGAAGATGCGGCATCTTCTTAGAGTAATACATGACCATTGGACAATTTTTCGGACGCCTGTCTGAATCTGGGTTGACCAAATCTGTCCACCAGATTTTGCTGGGATGAAATAACTCCCCAACTGTAGGATCCCACACAGACATTGTTTTCCTTCATATCTTGAGTTGCCTTAACGCATGATGCCTAAAGAGTTACGTTTAGTTAAAATACATTACGTCTTAAGTTCCCATTTAACGAATTTAAGTTAACTCCAGCCTCCACGAATTAGAAATTATAAACGGCCGCATTTCCCCAAAATGCAGCATCGTATATACATTTAGGTAATTCCAACTTTGCTTATCACAACCGCTCTTACCAAAATCATGACCTCTCCGAATCAACATTATAACCAACGCTGTTGTTTATTCACCTATGTATTGCCATTGTCGGGGAAGACTTAAGGATTTATTTCATTCCACCCAACGAAAATGTACTTTTCCCCAACCAAAAGTAATAATTTCCCCAATCGTGAAATGTCCAACGGGTTTAATATTTTTACCCAACGAAAATGTAAAACCACCCAACCAAATGGTAACTTAATTTACCTATCATATTAATGTAAGTAATGGACAGATAAGCGGCATGCATTAACTCAACCTTCTCAATCACCTCCCGTCCGGCCATTCATTCATACCATCCGGTTACTACTCTAAAATTTAGAAAATAAGGTAAATATGTCGGATTATCAAAAACTAAATAATTATCAATCCGACTCTGAAGAGTCGGATGAACCACCCCCCTCAAAAAAACAGAAACTTGTCCACGAATGGAAGAGGACTAGAACTTTTAAGAGCATTGAAGAGGCCAAGGTGCATGTGAAAACCACACAAAAGTTTGTGATTAAATCTACACGACCGTGCAGTGAAGGTCAAAAGTTGTACTATGACTGTAAAACTAATAATTGTTTAAGCAAAGTATATCTGTTGAAGAGTAGTAAGGCTTCGATGTTTATGTTTTAAAATAATTGCTTTGTATGTTGCTAACAAAATTGTTTATTACGTAGATAATACTTTGGATGTCGATATGTATGAGACGGTGGAATTACATAATCACGAGGGCGTCAAAACCGTTGGCATTCCCATGAGCACCAAATTAAAAATCGACCTTTGGTTCAACGGTGGCATCACAAAACCTAATCAGATTGTCTCTCATCTGAGAGAGGAAGAAATTGACGTCCCCTCAAAAGTCCAACTAAACAACTATCTCCGCGTTATTAGAAAAAGAATGGGTCCTCCAATCCTCTCAATCGGCCAACTATGCGAGTTCTGCGATGAAAACGAGCCTATTCCCATGGATTCGGATCAGCCATATATTATTGGAAAAGTGATCGACGCCGAGCAAAAAACCTTTCAAGTAATTGCGTCAACAGTAAGGTTATTGCAAAACTCCAGCAAAAGTAAAGTTTTGCACGCAGATGCGACATACAAACTTGTTTTTGAGGGATTTCCAGTCTTAGTAGTCGGAACATCAGATAAAGACCGACATTTTTGGGTTTGATACAACGAATGTCGTGGAAAAAATTTGACTCCTATGCGTCAAGTAAATCTACTTTCTGGATTATTAATTATTAAATTGATGACTGGATTTCCTCCACTTGTTCTTGCCCAATATGTAAAAAGCAATATATATGCAAACATATTGTTGGTATTGGCATTATCAAAAAGATAATTTTGGTTCCTGAGAACCTTAAGACCGATTGTATTGGATTGAAACCGAAGCGTGGTCGAAAAAAGTTTGTTGGGAAAGCTTTGATTGTTGACTAAATGCAAATTCTTTCCTTAAAATTGTAAAATTTTAGTTAAATATGATAATTTTACTTGGAAAATGTCATTTATTCTTGGTTGGAAATTTAATTATTTTGTTGGGTTTTTTAATGAAAATTGTGGTATAATAAATTAATTATTCGGGTTTTTTACGATTGGGCGAAATATTACTTTTGGTTGGGGAAATTCACATTTTCGTTGGGCCGTTTAATTGGCACCCAAGACTTAATACAATTTTCTTTTGCATGTTTCTAACTTTATATTTTGCATATGGTCAGAGTTCTAAAAAAAATAGTTTTTGACTCAAGCGTTATCATCAGTTAGAACATGTCTTAGACAAATCAATATGTATATGTGGGTAACTCTGCAATAGATCTCAACAGATGATCTTAGCCGGTGGGCTTCTGTCAACACGGAGGTCCCCCACACATGACACATACACACATAGACATAATATCAAACACTTACCGAGTCATACACCGAATACTTTTTCACCGTCATTTCTTCCAATCTCGAAATCAAGGCACATTTATTCCTGTTCTGAAATGGGGATTGTCCCTCCATCCCGTAAAATCCGGTGAAGTGAACTTTCACATTTGAGGCCGACAGTTCATCAAATGTTCGCGGAGGGGTGTAGAAAGGGGGGATGGTGAGACAGTCGACCAACCTCGTTTGGAGGTCGGCATTTAACAAAATCAGAGCCACAAGCCATGGGCCAATCATCAATTTGATTTTGCCAGTTAGTAGCAATCCGTAAATAAATTATTAAAAATTAATTAATTATTAAACTTATATTATATATAATCCACAAGAAGATCACGTTTGTATCGCGATCAAGTTCTTAATATTTACTTGGATTAATTAACTTAATTCCAATTAACTTACTGTTCTTGTTCGGTAGAAATGTTCTGCTGCGCAATTAAACGAAATAGCCCACATGTTGTGCTCACCATTCTTCCATAGTCCCATTTCCCGTCTCTTTGATGCACTGTAGCCATGACTACCAAGATCATGAGGACGATTGACCCAATCTCATACGCCCAGATGGTTGTATCCAGCGCGAAAAATACGAATGCTACTGGATTCCCGCTATTAATTTTGTGCGGGAGGCCCGTAAAGAAGGAGAAGGAATCCCAGTCCGCCAACGAGGTTGGTGTTAGAGCCTCCGCCCTCTCGAAGGATATGCCAAGCCAGCCTGAGTAAGATATTGCCCGCCCGGCCAGTACTTCTCCAAATGCCCCGTCCCACCTTCCCGTGGCGGGATTCAGTACCCGGGATGACTAGCTCGGAAAGATACTTTCGGCGTGGCATTAAACCATTGCGTGAGGTGACCGACCGTGAGGACGGTCGGAGCCATCATGTTCTTGATTATTGTCCCTACCCTAAAACTTTGAGATATTTAACAATATTTTAACTTGTTCAACTAATTATGAGGCTATAACGTACGCAACGCGAGAAGAGGTATATAAGAGTTGGATAACATCATGCCCATGTGACATATATGTAATAATGGGGTGATCGATGTCCACAAACTTTTGATTTTTACCTGATCTAACTTATAGACGGAAATGGTATTACTAAAATCTAATTCTGCACAACTATGCCGAACTCCAGTGTATAAAATAGTTGACAAAATCCGTTTTTGGAAATTTTTTGTCTAGAGATTGGGATAGGGAAATCTATTAAAAATACCTGAATTTTGCCAATTCCTCATCCGACAGCATATCCTTCAACCCTACGGTGCCCGCCCATACAAAATTCGTGCCAAAAAAGTTCCACCGTTCCTTAAATTTACTCCCACCCGGGATCCATACCCGATATCCGTGTACATCAATATCGTTCCATCTACACCCACCAGTTTCCAAGTTTTCGATCAATATCACATTGACCAAGGAACGAAACGGAAATCGTAGTCGACCCGGCTGTTTCCGGGTCTCAAAATTTTTCTGCTTTCCATCCTCAAGAATGTGGTACGAGTAGTGGATTCCTCCCGGCAAGATTGAACCCAAGTCCTTTGCGTAGTTCCCCTCACCACCATGAATAACAAGACTCGTATGCACACCGAATTTCGGATAATTTTGAATTAAACTATAATTGGCCGAAAAATTGAACGCCATTAGCTGCACGTCTGTATTCAGGTCCACGATATCACCATTGATTCCAACCAGGGTACAATCAGAACGAGCTAACAACTTGGTCAGCAGATGATTCACAATGCTACGGCCACAACCAGAAGAAACATTTCCAGACGACGTAATAATTATGGAGGAGTAAAAAAGCACAAAAAATCCCCAAGTTGGCTGCATTTTAACTCTTTTTTTTCTCCTAGTTAAACTGAACGTTGAACACGTTCTACATACATACATACATAAATAAATATCTTCCCTTTTTAACCTCTGAGACTTGGCATTGCAAAAAAAAGTTGAGCCGGAAATACATTTAAATGTATTTCCGGCACGTGCAGCTGATCAACTTTTTATTATTTATTAAGTGTTGATACCTATGTACAGACATTTATTTCATGATTAAGATTCTCCAACGGAAATGCGAGTTTAAATATTAATGGAAAAATAATTAAGAAAGAAAAACAATCAGAAGGTTGTAAGTATGTAAGTAAATATTGATGCAAGGCTACGGTTATACATATGTAAGTATTATCATTTATGGTTAAGAACATCCTCTTCTGAAATTAATATGTTGTTTATGAATATGTGTACCAACACACGCTGCTCTCTGTAAATCGTAACTCAAGCTTATCACAGATTGGCCGTTGCATTAAAAAAAATAACTTATGAACCCGACACGCACACAAATACATGCATATCATGATAAATCCGTAAACATATGAATGGCAACCTCAGTTAACAAATAGTTATTATACATAGTTAAAATATATATGAAGTGTGTACAAGAGTAAATTCAGACTTATGTACATACATACATATCCGTAGCGGAGATAGTCTGATTACTCAAATAGTTCCATCAAATGGAAGCCATCATGCATCGGCTCAAAAACTTTAAGGCTTTCCTCACTGCATAGAAAATTTTTGTAAAAATATTTTGTATAATACATACGTAACTTATACATGTAAATATATCTATAATACATTTTTTAGTGGGTGGGTTCACCAACATACATATTCTCGGGAAATTATTTTGTATGTAGTTGGTTGATTACATATGGTATGTAAAAATTCGTTCACTGCCTTCGTGACAATGTAGATTACCCGAATACTTGGAATTACGTCTTATTATTCTTCTTCTACGTATAAATGTGTAAGATAAATTGTCATCAAAATACTAATTACTTCTCAAGGTTTCTTGCGAAACGTTTGTTCAACTTGATTGAACGCTACTGAGAAGGTTATCCGCAGCTTAGTCGTCTCTGAGTGCTAGAAAGTATGCATTCCGATCCACGTTCGTACGAATATAGTTTCCGTTCTAGAATGATGGTTCGCGTAAATGTACGTTGCGCCTAAAATCGATCAAATTGTTTATTTAAGTCAGTTTTGCCTCAGCTACAACTTAAAAAAAGACTTCTAGAAAGAATTCGAATGCTAGAAGCCACATAAGCACATACATGTATTAGTTACTAATGCAGACAAAGTTTTGGATGGGCTAAGTAGGATGTAGTAGAGGCCTGTCCATCCACTAATTTTATCCGTTTGTTGCCTCAAACTTAGTAAGTAGCGCGTCCAAAGTGATACGTAACGCTGAAAAACTCTAGACATACAAGATTGGTGGCTAATCCTAAAAACATCTCCTTACAGTAGTCCTGCGCTCTTAAGCTCGTGATGGCATGGGGTCAACGTATTTAGTAATTTTTGTGTTTTTCTTTAGAAAATCAAGTGGTGCATTATACCTCTTACGTCAATTAAGGCATTAAGTCACTAAAAATTAGTCATGTTCTTCTTTGTGTTACTCTTAATATGCTCATATTTCCTTGTTGGTGCAAGTATGTGGGGTCATGGGGTATTTGACGAGGCTGACCTAACATTGCTGTTCATACCTCCATTATCAAACTCAATTACCTTTGAGGATAAAGATGTCTCATATTTTCACGATACAAGAAATCTCAACTACTATACTCCACTTCGATATCTTGTCCTCCCCCACACCATGCTGATGCTCAACATCAGCCATCCTACGGAATTTAAGCATTTTGTGAATAACACTATCCAAAAATCGTCCCGACCTAAGGCAATTTTCATTAATCTAGACCTCACAATGGGATATGCTTACGATAACTATTTGAAATGCGAATTTCTACTGGTCTCTCGGTGTATCAAGCATCCCGCATATCTCGACCAGATTTCATCTTTGGTCACACTGTCCTAATACGAGACGCCAAATGCTATAAACACGCCGCTGAACAAATTGGGACCGCCAAGCTCATCCTATTCCAATATAGTCTCAACTCACCCCCCGAGTTCTTTCTCCCATGCTTGACCTGTCACTCTGTCATGTATTCTCCGTTAGTTACAATTTCGCTACATAGCATTCGATACGCTTGGAACACTTTAACTGCAAACATGCATAAATACGTTTTGCACTACTTTGCACCGATATACCTATTTATAGGAAACGGCACATGTGGCTTACAATACAAGGAATATGATCTGATAGCTATGACCGACATGTGTAAAGTACTAGAAATTCCGGGGAAATATAATCTAACACTAGAGTTAGAATACCATCGTTTCATAAATTTTAATGGCCAAATTTCCGGTAGAAGCTTTGGCCGTGCAACACCTTACGTAGAACAATATAACGAGATGGATGATTCCATTTATCAAGTCGTATTTTACTCTTTAAATTTCATAACGGTCACCAATCCACCGTCCGCTAACAGCGGTCTGGATGCGTTCATTTCACCATTCGATTCAGAGACATGGGCCTTCCTTTTCATTACGGTAGTCACACTCGGCGGATTTGTATCTGGATTGGGACAAATGGACTCGGTCCAGCACGGTTGTCTTGTTTTGGTATCAATTGTTGAAAAGGTTATCAGCGTCACGTCCGTTCTTCTCGGCCAAGTAAGCGATACTACAGGAAAAGCATATCGCACAGCAAAGGTAGCCTCACTTCTCATTATCCTCTGGCTATTCGGGAACCTCGTCCTCACCGCAAATTTATACCAGGGATCAATCTATTCCTGTCTGGCTGTCATACTGCCACCACAAACTCCGCTCGATTTTGATGACCTGGTTACGTGGGACCTAGCTATCATATCAGACGCTAGAGGTTATGATTACGGTACGCAATCGCGTATGTCGATCCTAGTTTTTACAATTATCCCCGAGCTTCTCTCGACTCCTGGGATTTCCTCAAAATTTGCTAAATTACGGAAGACACTGCAAGCAAGGGTCACGACCAGCCAGGATCCCCGGGTGTACAAAATGATAAAAAATTCTGTTCGTGAAAATTCAACGAGAAGCCATCCAACGTTCGTCATAATATTACCGAGTCACGACATTGGCAACACTATCAATGGTTACAAACTTGCTGGAAATCGGTACATTGTCGCCAGCAGATTGGCATCGCCGTTTAGCATGGTAATGTTTTTTGCTGGATATAGGAACTTGGTCCACCCATACTTCGTAAAAGACTGGCGTCGCATACAGGAATCTGGGTTGGAATCGCTGTGGGATACATATATCGAAATTGGTAGACTTCTGAATAGAATTAGTTTTCATCAAGGAAAACAGAAATATTTTGAGACTGTGCAAAGATCATTTTCAGACGTGAAAGAGACCATCAGATTCCACGAGTCGACACCCGTCTCGGTGTATCTCATCAGACCAATCTTTGCTATCTGTGGTATCATATTGGTTCTCGGTATGCTTGGATTTCTCGCCGAAAATAGGAATAATGTCGTGGCTGGGGTGAAACTCCTCGTACAGGCTATGCATGCAACATTGATTTATATATGGAAAGTTTTTCAAACCATTGTGGCCTATTGTCTACCCAAAACCAGTACCTGATTTGTTGCCCAATCCCATATAATTAATTATATAATCCTACTTATCAAGTAGTTTGATTCAAGCTGATTAACATTTAGGTTAGTTGATCTTAGTGTAAACCATTTAGGGGGAAATCTCGAGAAATTATGACACCAATTTAGCTTATTACATTAGAATAAGTATACCATCCACTATTTTGTTTCTTTTTTTATATTTATTTAATACTGTGTAGTCGCTTTTTATATGTAAAATAATTATGCTGAATTTGTGTCATGGTTTGTAATCTAGTTCTCATGACACTTGAATAAAAGTATACTTGAACTATGTACCTGTTTGCTGGACGTTCACCACCTGGACCCTGTTTCAGTAAATAAATCGAAACATTATGTAGAGATTCTTCAACCCAAACTCGATTCAGTAACTCAAAAAAATAATCAATAAAGGTAAAAATACAAGGTAAAAATATTCTTCATAGCGGTTGAGGTAAACGTAATCAATTTTTTTTATTAAGCGCAAATGAACACCGAGTTAATGAATAGCTCAATTCAGCAAGAAAAAGTTATTAGAACGAAATTCAAAACTCCTGAGTAGTCAACTTTTCATAATCTTTATACATATATGTATGTGAATGATAATGAATTTTAATAAAACACTACACTTAAAAACACTTTGAACAATTAAGTAATCATTAACAATTATGTATGTATACCCGTAAAATATTCCAACAAATCTATCTGGATTAATTACAAAACTTAAATCTAATTAAATCTATCTGGATCTATCTGGATGGATTTAAAAATCTATCTTGTACTACGATGAGTTGAAAGGTTTACGCGTAGACGATGATAACCTCTGCCTTAACCGGGCAGGTGTCATACAATTTCAAAACCAACTTTAGCATTTACATATTATATTTATCCGACTTATTCCAACCCTTCAACGCCAGTATGTTACAAATATTAGCAATATCATTCTTGCATATTGATGAATTTTGGGAGAAACTATTCAGTATAAAACTAGAACATGAAGCCTTTAATGGACACATGATGCGCAAGTACGAGAATCGATTAGTACATAATTAAATCTTGTTTAACCACTGTCAAGTTTATTTATACATTATCCTTTAATCCTTACAGGCAGCTATGGGTGTTTGGCAGAATATAGAATTTTATAAAAACACATATCTAAATAAATCGATTAGTTATTTATTAATTTGTAAGTTTGGTATTTATATTTATATTTATATTTATATTTTATAATTTGTAGATTATGGGTTGCATGCAACTCGTAATTCACACAAATTATGATTGGAAGTGATTTAGTCATCTTAGGAAATTCTACATACCTCGATGTTCTCAAGAGTAAATAGGAATTACAATAATTCCACGAAACATTACTATGCAAGTTATTCCAATGAAAGTGATGATTATCAACAATAGCATCCTGCCGGAGGAGGTCTGCAGTCCAACCCTGGCACTAGAAAACCTAACCCGGCACAGTTTCGGAGTCTCTGACAATGCCAGGCACAACAATTGGGCGGACATTGGGCGGACACCGTGTTTATTGAAATCATTAGTATGATTCCAATGAAGAGAGGCAATGCGACAAAATTCAGTTTTGAAAACATAGTAAAATTATTAGTGTTTGTAGTGTTCTGGAAATCTGCGAGATAATAATTGCAAAATATTTTTTTTATTTTTTGAAATTCAATCCGAAACGTGAATCATGTTTTACCTGAAGCTAGCTCGGTATAGGATACACATTAGTGTGGCTTATTCCAGTTTTGATTTGTCTTGGACCAAAACACTTGTCATTTTATATTCTAATACGTAAATTAGCACAGCTTGCGAATAATCAGCTTCTTTGTTAGGGAACTAACAAGGTAACAGCTGGAACGAACTGGAAATTGTTTTTAATGCTGGGCTGATACGCATTCAATATAATACGTATAATATTAATATGTATTCAACCAAGGCATCAATTTGTTGTCAACAACGTCAACAAAACAAACATACAAAAGAACATATTTTTGCAAGGAACTGCGACACGATTCTATGTCATATCCGTATGACAGTTGGATCCATCAATTCAGGGCGATCAAGCTACAACAAGATCAATAACATAATATTTGTAAATTGAATTATTTATTTAGTGAATTTTTGATTTATTTGACAGTTGAAAAAAAAAACTTGTTTAAAATTGTTAAAAAAAATTAATTTTTGTAAAGTTTTTCTCAAAAACATTTTATTGCAGATTTGCACCGATCATGGGTCGTAGGTCACGAAAATAGATGCATGCAGGTAACCAGTGATGGATAATAAATGTCCTTGTAGTATTCCTTCTGGCAACCCATACACATTCCAAGCCCTAAGTTGACAACACTTTCAATGTAAAATACCATTTCATCTGGAATTTTCAGGTAAGACGCATTCATATAAAAGTTTATTTTCCTATTAAGTTTTTTACGATTTTACACATAATTATTTAATATTTTACTCAGCTTTGCATTAAACGGATTCAACATTTATGGATGCGTCATCATCACACCTTATGAATGTGAGACATCGAAGATAAGCAGGAATACAACAACGCTGTATCGTGCAAGTCACTTAGACATAAGCCCAGACTTCAATACATTTCTGTAATATGTCACCTAAATTTTAACAACGTAATTAATTAATTTATGTCACCTACATATGTGGTCCACTTAACTATAAATTTCACGGGGCTCACACTTCTAACCACGAGTGACCAGAATAAGTTTTTCTCTCGCCCTACAGCTAAAGTGAAACCGAACTAAATGCCATATTTAAGTTCAACGTATTTCACTTCAAATTATCAACAAATCCTTACTTCAAACCTTACACCACATTTGTAAATAGATATAAATAAATTGGCGTAATATGGATCTGCCGTCGCCTTTTTCCCAAAAAGGCAACATTTCCCTACTTTCTTGTAAATGATTCAAAATTAATTTCTCAATAGTCATCCTCAAACAAACTTATTGTTCTACTTATTGTATGTATCTTTATAATTATAGGCTCTCAAATTGGTGATGAATCAGCAATGGAGAATACCAGTTGGACATCAATAGCTTTGCGGAATCCGTTGGTTGGTCATCCAAATTCTTAAAATAACTAAAGTTAAATGAAATTCCAAATTTCTACCAGATTCTCGACCAAATTCTGGCCCAACTTGATATCACAGAATTGAAGAAGGCGCGCCTTGTTTGTCGAAGCTGGAGAGAGATTGGGGGCAGTTTGCTAGGAAAACGGACCATGCTCTGCATCAGCAAGCTTTTCTACTACGACGGGTGCAAGTTGTGCGTCACCCCCGTGGCTTCAAATTTAATGCGTCGAATCACCATCCCCACTCACCATAAATTCGACGACTCCATTCCCACCAGAAAGAAGCCTAACGTCATTATTAAAGTGTTCAAAGACCTCGCCCACCAGTTGCAATTTACTCGCGAAATTATTTTTCACGTCCACCAGAGGAAATCCGAGAACGCCTTTATCACAGGGTTGAGGAGGAACCTGAAGAATATCCAACACATTAGTCTACAAGTTGGTTGGGACAGGTACAAACCTAGTCCTTCCAGTGGAGTGTCTCCAGCCTATACCAAAAATCTGGCTGTTCTAACTAAACTGACCTCAATTAATTTTGTACTTGGCGAGATCATAGATACATACCCGGCACATTCCCTCCTTCAATTTTTGATAGACTCGGCACCTAATTTGAAATATTTAAAAGGCCGCTCGTGGTTATACCCGAGTTTGGAAAGATGCAAGAATTTGAAAATGCTTCATTTTCAAAACACAGTTCCTTCCACTTCTCCAACTGATGTCAATTTGATAGGTGCGATCAAAATGTTGGGGCATGTGAAGGATTCCCTAATCGAGATGGTATTATTATGCCCCAATGGCCGTGATACAGTTGTCGACATGTCACAGGTAAAATTCACATGAACTCCGTCGACATGCTCGTTAATGATCAAAATCATCCAATCATTTACCAAAATCAATTGCAGCTGAATCAGAGTCTGGACCTTCCAGTAATGTCAAAACTTACCTCTCTCTCGATTCGACCAGCAGCTGAGTTTATGTTTCACGACTTTTTTAACGAGGACTACCTCCCAGTACTTACAACAGTACTTCTCCAAGTGAAACATACGTCAGACAGGTTGAATGTGTCGGCTTACCTTAACTTGTGGAAAGGACATCGTGGAATCAAATATTTCAGGTTAGAACTTGAAGAAGAATGGCAGAATGTAGGTGCCAATGTAATCGGGCGGAAGATAGTCCGAGTATTTCCATCAGTCACGAAATTCGACCTAAGGGCATGGCTCGGTGAGGACATTGTTATCCAAGCGATAGAACAAATGATGACACCCTACCAAAAGTGGGAGCTGGAGGATGTTAGCGTTACCGGTGACCATGTTACAAAATCCTCCGTGTTGGTTGCAGTCCTGAAAAACGTAGTGCGTTGGAAAGGTGCCTATTCCATTTTCTTTGCAAGTATTTATTTCTGTTCGCTTTATTTCTTAAATGATTTCCATTTACTAGGTATGCTTTTTGCATGTTAGTCGTGTTCAGGGTACCCTTTGTACTTTTTATAATCTCCTAGGTCCGTTGATGAAGGGTCCCTAATTATTTTTCTGCAAAACTCATATTTCGCGAAATTACGTGGCGTAAAATTCGCCAAATTCCCATGATTTTAATTTTTAAACCGCTATAACTTTTGAAATCCTGAACGGATTTTCAAATTTAGTAGCTTAAAATGATCACAAAGAGTTAAATTTTAATACAAAAATAACGATCCATTTTTGAAAATCTTTTGATTTTTTTTGCAAATTTTAGAAATTACCTGATCAAGAGCTCGCTCAGAAAAAGTTTAAAAATACTTAAAAAATTAAAATTTTCGAGCTAAAATTTTTTTCCGGCAATTTTGATTTATCTGAACATTTTAAGTCAAAAATTTGAAAATTTCGCGAAAGCTTAAAAAAGTTATGGAGGCTTAAAAATCGTCTAAAACCCTGCATTTTAAGTTTGTCGCGACCGAATCTCGCCAAATATGCGATTTTCAGAAAAATATCTGTGTACCTACTAGATTTTGAAAACCATACTTGGTACCCTGAACACGACTAACAGTCGAAAAATGTACCTAGTTAGTTGAACTGCCTTGCAAACTTTGCAATGCCAAGTGCAAAAGGTGCGATTTCTTGCAGGTGGTTTTTTACGGAAAACACTGATTATTATAAATAATCCTTAAAATCTTGTAGTTTTAACTAAAAAATTTTTCTATGAACTAATTATGAATGAATTCCAGGTGCTAAACATGTCCACTTCGAGGACACTCTTGTCCAGCAGCGTGAATTTTCTCTCCACATTCACGAGCTAATCTCAAACAGTGAAGGATGTACAGGAGTGAAAATCTGCGGCGGATATAATCGTTCGGTATTTTGAACTTAAATATCAATTAAAACGAATTTTAAACCCTTTGCATACCCACAAATTTTATTATGAATTAAGGTGCAGGAAATGCTACAACTACTTGGGCCAATATTTGAAGGTAGCGGAACTCCAATTCGTATGTACGGGGAGTGTGGATCCCACACTGGGCGGACACCGTGTTTATTGAAATCATTATTATGATTCCAATGAAGAGAGGCAATGCGACAAAATTCAGTTTTGACACCATACTAAATTATTAGTTTTTGCGGTGTTCTGGAAATCTGCGAGAAAATAATTTCAAAATTTATTTTTTATTTTTTTTTAATTCAATCGGAAACATGAATCTTGTTTTACCTGAAGCTAGCTCGGTATGGGGTACATATTAATGTGGCTTATTCCAGTTTTGATTTGCCTTGGACCAAAACACTTGTCATTTTATATACTAATACGTAAATTAGCACAGCTTGCGAATAATCAGCTTCTTTGTTAGGGAACTAACAAGGTAACAGCTGGAACGGACTGGAAATTGTGTTTAATGCTGGGCTGATACGCATATTCTAGCAAGGCATCAATTTGTTGTCAACAACGTCAACAAAACAAACATACAAAAGAACATATTTTTCCAACGAACTGCGACACGATTCTATGTCATATCCGTATAACAGTTGGATCCATCAATTCAGGGCGATAAAGCTACAGCAAGATCAGTAACATAATAAATATTTGTAAATTGAATTATTTATTTAGCGAATTTTTGATTTATGGATATATCTGCAATAAAATTTGTTGAAAAAACCAGTTGAAAAAACAACTTTATTAAAAAAAATTAATTTTTGGAAAGCTTTTCTCAAAACGGACGAAAAAAATTGTATTGCAGATTTGCATTTACATGGGTCGTAGGTCACGAAAATAGACTTTTTAGAAGAAAAAAATTTTTCAAAGTTTCTTGGGGGTCCCCTTTCGTATAGTCTAACCATATAAATTACTTTGGAAATTGATATAACTTACTAAATTGATTATACATAGTCAATTAATTAATGTCGTTGTAATGATACCGCAGAAGATGATTTATAATAACCAATTCTTTAAATTGATTAGATTGATAATTTTATTTTTATTGGAGAATTAAAGTGAACGGCATTTGTCTTCTCAGCTGCAGCTGTTGCCTCGTCACTTTATTGTCGTTTCCTTTTTGTGGCATTTTTCTCATGCAAAATGAGACATGATTGCTTGCATATGCATGTACAAATTTAATAATTATTATATTACCTTGTTAATCAATTAGTGTTTCTTTAGTAGCAGATTCTATAAGTAATCTGCTCGGAAGTTGTGTTGTGTCCTGTTGTGAACAAATTATGAAAAATAATGTCAAAATAGACGACTTGGTTGCTGACCACCATAATGGTTTTGTACAGGCAATGTTTATAAGACAATATATTTATTTAGCAAATACTAAACAAGGAGATTTTATACGAATTTTGTCTTGATGTGCTTGTTTGATTAATTACAAAAATCTGTCATCCCAATTTTTCCGATATACATATAAAACATTTATTGTTATTTTAGAGAAAAAAATTGCATAATTGTAGAAATCATGATTTTTCTATAATATTATTAATTGTTAATCGAGTATATATTATAATTGCACTAAATAGAATTAGGTCTGTAACGAACTATAAAAGTTCTGTACCGTCGGGAGCGTCAATGAATAATCATCAAAGAGGGGTTTATTTAACGACGGTGGACCTCTTCCCTCCTTTCATATCCATTGAATATGCTCGACTGTAAACTACTTAGAACGCCAGGCTAAAAAATTATGAGTCCCATAGCCCTTTGCCCAAAAGAAATTCAGAGCCAAAAAACCATAGCATAACTATATTCGGTATAGATAACGTAAATTCCGAATACATTCTAATAACAAAGACAGACATGGATTACGCGGTGTGGGGATCGCACCAACATAATGCACGGGATTCCAATTTTCATCAAGCGTACATTGCACATAATGCGGACGCAAGTTTGCAACCGAATATTTGCCATCTTCCTTCAAAGTTAAATGAAACAATTCAAACGGCTTCCTGCTTTCGTATGTCCCCTCCATTTCCTGAAATGGGATCAACATAAATACAATGTCATAACAAAAAATTTCCAAATTAAAATAGATAAAAAGCAAGAGAGAGAGATAGAGATTTACAACCTTGATCTTAACATTAGAGTTGAGAAACGCCCAGTTGATTTCGTCAGCCGTTGCAACAATGAAGGTGTGACATTTTCTTGGTTTCGGTGATTTAAATTTTTTGCCAGCTACATCCGCAATGTCTGCATTGTAGCGAAATAATCGAGATCGAAACAATTTGTTCCAATCCGATGTGTTTTTAGGGATAGCGTCCGGGTCCACGCAGTGCCTGATATGGAACCCATATTCTAGTAGAGTAAATTTTGGTATGAGAGGGGGAGGTTCTGGTTTGACACCCGGTTTAGGATCTATTTAAAATATTTTTGTTTGCATAATAGGTCCAAACACAAAAATTCAGATAAATGAATAAGGTTGTACTCACCCAGGAAAATAATTGAATATGATTCACAATAATTAATAATAATAATTAATATGAAAGACAGTAGTTGTACGAGGAAAGTGTGGAATGACATGGTGCTACGGGTTTTTTAACGAGTAAGCAAAGTTGTTCCTTATATATGTGAATTGCTATCAGTCAGAAAGGAAATTGTCTATCTATGCCGACAACCGACAGAGATCCAAGCAAATACAAATATCACCACAGGAAGCATACTTTGATAAATATTACTGCTAATCCTTTTGTTTTACATGCCACTTGAAATGTTAGGCATTTTTCATCCATAACCTAAAATGCAAAACAATTTTAATATATGTGTCTAATTTAAATTAATCAATTAAATTAAGCTGATTGGAAACCAACAAACCCCCCAATTTTGTTTATATTCTTATCGTCATAAATTTCTAGCTTTTATAGGAAATAAATCCGACATAAATTGATGCGGAGTCTACAATGGTGTAGTCTTATCAACTCTGCTCCCATTTGAATAAATAATACATATAAATGTGATACAATTATAATGCGTCTAGTACATTTATACATTCCAAGGACCTGGTCTGTTGCCTCAATTTTGACCTCACATAGGATTTCTACAGTCAGACTTTCTAGAGTACAAAATAATGACAATTCTCCAGCTCTTCAGAATTTTGTACTAATTTTCTGATTGTACATACTCTAGCTACAGTAACGTACAAATCAGAATCATGTTTTTCTCCACCTCTCTAATGTCAGACTGTAGTTATGTATTTATGACAATGTGTTTAAGCACAAATGATTACAAGCATCCAGTAAATGGTGTTTGGTTTGTCGCAAATGTTCAAAGCAATATAACGCGAGCAAGTTTAAAGTTTCGTGTCAAGAGCGAGAAGGTCATCTCAGCTATAATGGTCAACGCTGGAGCAATCCTACTGGACAAGGTGAAGAAGAGATCCAGTTACAATCTTCAGGCTTGTAAATAAGATTATAATAATTAAATGGAGCGTTGAAATAATCGTGATTTAGATCATTTAGTTTTAATTAATCAGCATGTAATATGTATGTAATGTATGTATGTGTGACGTATAATATGTTAAACAGTAGAAATTACTGGGTCATTAATTGTGGGCGAATTCAATTATTAGATTATTAGATCTTGTGCAACAATTTGCATATACATAATTGTAGGCCCCGTTATTTGTAAAGGACAGAATAAAATATTCCTTCGTAGAGAGAACAACTCTCAATTATCAACAATTTCCGGGGTAAAGGTGCGAGTCAAGCTCAATGATGGTCCAGTGGTATCCAGTGATGGTTATAATATCAATAAAGGGTTTGATTCTAAATTTTCAAAATTATCATAGATAGCCGAAATTACATCTGAATAGTGGCAAAAATAGGGTTAAGTTCGAAGATGACCAAGTCAAGTGCTTGACCTGTGGGGGTCAAAAAGGTGGTGGGGGGTATCATGCACCAAAATTGTTTTAGTGTTTAGAATTTGGTATGGAGGTAACCAGTGATGGATAATAAAGCGTTATGAGGTCGAATTAGAGAAATTGTACATAGAGGGTCGCCCATACCGATTTTTCAAAATTCTATAATTTGGTTGAAATTCGGTTTGAAATCTGCTAGTGACTCATATGCGATTATTGAGCAGTCAGATTTTAATGTTAATGTCCGTGTTATTGTTACTTATTTTGTTAAATATATCGCTACCGAGATTAGAAGGATGCTCCCAGTTCAAGCTTCCCTCTTGAAGACGTGGAAACTGGGTATTGGAAAGACTAAATTCGTAACGATTGTCGAAAAATTTATTACATCTTTAGATCTCAGCTCGAAGCCGATTTATTCAAAGTTTAAAGTGGGGAGCTTTATAAAGCAAAGTACAACTTTCATATGTTTTATTACGCATTAAATGCTATATGTGAAACCAAAAATGCAAAATTTCGTCACGCTTGTCTACGGTTAGTTGCATGCAGATGTGAAATGTAGGTAAAACATTTATGAACATAACCATACAACATAAAAATATCTAATTACCGAAAACAGTACAATGTGTAATTAAATATTATCTGAAGCGATTTACGCTAGTTCAGTATTGTATTCTTACTGAAATGACGAGGATTTTGGCAATTACAAAACTCATTTCCTACAGGAAATCCATTGAAATTAGATACATTAAAAAACATGTTATCCAAAGGTTTTAAGCTTATTCAAACAACAGGTATCAAATTTGGTTGCAAATTTGGTTGCCCACTGTGCTCATTACACCTTTGCAAGTATATCTCACACATCCACAACTTATTACCTCTAATAAAAATGAAAATGTTCCACTATTATCAATTTTTGCTCGCACACTTTGTATTCCGACCCACATTCTGTGAGATTATTCCTTTCCAACTGGAAGATTTACTTAAGTTGTCGTCCCCCCTTTGTGAAAATAATATAGGTATCGACACAATGTTATCCGAAGACCTTCCCCATACGAACAATGTTCCCATAAGATTATCAAGCAGAGCAAGCAAAAATATAATAAAGGAAGTAAATGATTGTTTGCAGTCATCGTACAACGAATAAATAAATTCGTTAAGCTAATAAAGAATAAATTGCCCTGCCACCAAATTTATTTTTATCACAATGTGAAGCATCGTGATAGAAATTCCCAATCAGTTGCTAATTTCCGAACCGTTGTGACCGATTGGATTGATTTGCATTTCAATAGCTTAATCACAATCTCCTATATAGAAACTGGGTCTGGAATATTCAATCAGTTTCAAATCAATAAAATGAATGTTTTCCTGACTATCGTTACAGGATTGGATGTCACACCTTTTGAGAAGGACGGAGATTTTATCTACAAAGTATCCGATTCCACGTACGTTCCGAATTTTCAAATGATATTTCTCAACACTACAATATTCAAACCGTTACTTTGTTTTCAAACCGTGATGAATGTTGGCCCAAAATTCAATACTTTTAAATGTACACCGTACCTTGGAAACATTCCGTTATATGGAATTAAGAAAGAGTTAGTGGTAGATTGGGGATGGATGTATATAGCGGATGAGGGGTATCTAAAATTGTTTGTTTTAACCAATAAAGGCGAACATTCTAACATATTTTCCCTCTATGATGTTCAATCAAGTGTTAACAAACTGTTGACAAAATTATTGAATTCTACCGTATACTGTTCGACTTTGGGTGGACAATTCGATAGTAATATTTGCACAGAATACAAGACTAGTTTTCCATTAATTAGGGTTGAAGATTCAACGGTGTATCCGCTTATTATGCCTCAATATACGATTGTTTTTGATTCCATTGCCTATAATTTTATAACCTGTCACAGAGCAAGAGCCTTAAGTTTCTCCATGTACTACACACCATACGATATACCAAGTTGGATAGCCATTTGCGCGTGTGTTACGACAATAACTGTCATATTGGATTTATACATCAAATTCTATCTGAAACTGAAAGCGCCATCATCATTCCTTTCCTTGCTTGGAGCACTGATTGAAGAATCGCCGACTACAAATAGTACAGTTGGCAAGGCTCTTTTCTCCCGAATTATTGCTGCATCATGGTTACTAATATCGACAACTATATCCAGTGCATATATCGGTCTAATTATTAACAAGTTCAATGCGCCAGTTCCCGCAACGTTGTATTTGACAATACCTCAAATAGCGTGTGAAACGCAACCAATAGGAAAATTAGCAGACGCCTTGAAATACAGAATTTCAAGGTGAAGAGATTTACAAAATGTACTTACAAAAAACTCTGGTTTGTATAATGAAAACAATTGCTTCAGTTCACTATCGTTGACATTCGAAGATCCATTGGATTTATATACCGTTCACTCAAACTTGGCATACAACTTCCATCGTGATCTGTTTTCGTGGATTATATCTAATAAACAATTAAAATTTGATGAATATGCTCTAGTAGATCCAAAGATGAGATGGTGGCCAAAATACCTTGTCAGTGGAAGAAAGCAGGTTGCTGTCACCAAAACAGTGGCTCGAGAAGCAATTGAAAAAGAGTTGATAGAGTGTGGCAAATCTGTATTTTGGGATTCAGGCAGAGATTTAGATTCGTATCTCGAGTATTTGAATAGGAATTATCCAACGAAGGAATTTTACAAGGGCAAAACTCAACTTCTCAATCGATTCCATAGATTAGAATTTGATGACACCTGGCACTCCAAAATACCAGGCAAGTTTGTCCAACTTGTGGAATCTGGGATACTCCCAATTGTTCAATGGTACGAGAAAAAAAATGAACAAAAAAGATATAAAAACGAAACGAATAATATATTGCGAGAAGATATAAGCAAATCTGCGATGCTAGAGAAAGTGAAGCCATTAAATTTGTTGGGGAATTTGCAAACGTTGTTCGTGATAATTTGTATTTGCTTTGCGGCTGGGGTTCTTTGTTTTTCTATGGAAAATTGTATGTTTTATTGGAGGATGTGGTCGCTTAAAATTTTTGTACTAGTGTCCATTCTGTATCGAAAATGTTAGCTTATTTGCAAAATTTACAGTATCCGTTCGGATAGTAATTAACAGTAATCCCATTACTCATTCGTATTGAGAAGGAATTATTACTTATTTTCAAAGTATTTACGCATTTCACCCAGCACTTTTTAAATGTAGCAGGTTTGGCTTGAAGACAGAACAATTCAAACCAAATAAATATATACGTTTGTTTTTCAAAGACTGAAATTTGGAATTTTATTCAACAAAAAATAGCTAAGTACAGGAAATGATCTGCTTAAAAATCTGCTTAAAATCAAGCAATCACCTGGCATCAAACTGGCATCAAACTGATGCCATCAATTTCAGTTAACTAGGTTATGAAAGCAATATTTGGTTACCGAACTATGGGTGAATGGTCAGTAGGAGTTGTGGAAATTAAGGGGAATGACTCCTTATTTACGGTTTCTCTGAGGAATCGCAGAGAACTGTGGTGTTGAAAGTGGAGGCAGAGGTCGCATGCCTTCAGTTTTCAATCACCCATATGTAACCCATATATCTCAAATCAGTCTCATTTTGACTGGCAGAGCGAGAGGATCAGCACCAGCACTCACGGTTTTAAATTTGGT